CGGCACGATGGCCGACAACCACATACACAGTTTATACCTCCTCTTTAGTTTCTAGTAAATTTCAGTTTCAGATTGGAACATGGCAACTAAGATGCTGTAGACAAAACCGAACCTATAAATGATTTTACAACCCTAAAAAGGAATTCCATCTACCTTTTTCTCTCTGATGGATCATCCCCACCAAATAGGGTGAAAGTGCTAAATTAATTCTTACATCTTGAACTTGCCAACAATCAAATTAGACAAATGAAGAAATCATCACATGCAATAAACAGTACATGTCTTTGGTGCCTGGAAACTACACAAAGCAGAAGAGGTAGGAAGAAATGCACGAAAACAGATGCAACCATTGAGCATTGCTTTAACAATCATTGAACAAGTACAAAGGTAGTGTCAACTTTGGGCATGATGGTTGGTTCAGTTGTGAGCATTGCCTCAATCATAAAAAAAAAGAGATGTAATGTGGAAAGGTAGACCACGATAATTGGATGAAACATCAAACATAATTTATGCTGCAATCATCACAGTCTCATGTGCTTCGTTGCCAATTGAACTACAAATCGAATTCACCAAACCAATGATATCCAAGACAAGCAAAACCTAATTACCGAGAACACCTACTACATGAACCACAACATCCAACAGGCACAGGCGGACAGCGGCAATACCTCCTCAGATCAGCGACACCTTCTTCAATCAGCAACAGCAGCAGCTCCTCCGTGGTGACCGAGACAGGGGAAGCGGCGGCGACGGCCGCGCCCCAATGCACCCACCGCAAGGAGAAGGGAAACGGCGGTGAAGCCACGGCACAGGGCGAGTGCGCGCGAGGACAACACCTACACCCCAACAGCTCATGAGAACAGAGAATCATAAGAGGACATTAAATGGTTGATAAAGCACTCATGAGAACAAGATTGCCACTAATATGAAGTGCATGCTAGATTGCTAGCTTTGACAAATGTGTAACTTCAACTAATTCAGCTAATGCGCTGTTGACAGGTTGATGATATCCATTTTCAGGCAATAGGGATCAGAAACAGAGAAATAACTCAATTAGCATATGCATATGCTTTTGGTAAGGAAAACAAAACTAGATTATGATCATAACTCCATCTCTCTCTCTCTCTCTCTCTCTCTGCATTTTGCATGCTTATTAGTTACAGTCGGCAAGACCACTGCATTCTGCAACGTCATATAAACTCAAACAAATTTATAAGTCAGCTACGTGCCATCTGTACTTCTCTCGGGCAAACCTCCTAAAACAGAACAGGGAATGCAGTACTAGACAACTACATGTCCCAGAAAAATTAATCACGTAATGCTGTTGAGATTTGAAGCATGTAATTGCTGAACATAAGTACTAGCACTTGATAAACAACTCCAACAGTAATCATTTGCATGAAACGTAGATGCTGTTGAGATCTGTAATTGCAGAGCACATGATTAGATGAGAAGAACACATTGCCTTACCTCCGTCTGGGTGCAGATTCCAGGTGAGGAAGTGCCAGATGTTGGTGTTGGGGAATCCCAATGCCCTCCCAATGGGCTCGAGTGCACAACTCTGAGGCGCTGACTCACGCGCGGCGAGGACCTGGGGCGGCGGCAGGCTCCTGGGGCAGCGAAACGGCGGCGGTGGGCTCCCAGGGCGGCGAAACGGGGGCTGGGAGGCCGGCCGCCGGGGGCCAGGAGGCCGGCCGCCGCGGGGGTGGCACCGGGCAACGGGGGCTGTGGGCCGGCAGCGGGAGTACGGGCACCGAGGGACGCGCGCCGGGGGCAGGGGCGCGGGAGGACAACGCTCCAGGGACCTTCGGCCACGGGTGGAGCGCCGAGCGCTGGGGGCCGCGCGCGCCGGGAGCATTAGGGCGCCGAGGGCCGAGCGTCAGGGGCGGGGGCGCGGGAGGACGATGGCTCGGGCACGGGCACGGGGAAGACGACGGGGCACGGGAGGCCGGCGGCAGGGTGCGGATGCGGGAGGCCGGCGGCGTGGCGTGTGTGCGTGAGTGTTTGGGACGCAGGAGGAGTAGTTTTGCTGGATGAGAGACACGTTATGGAGAAGAAGGAAACGAAGGAAGGAAAATGAAAAAAACAATGTTTGCCGAGTGCCCCCGATCTGGCACTCGGCAAATCTGGGTATGCCGAGTGTCAGATCGGGACACCCAGGAAAGCCAGAGTGCCAGATCGGGTGCACTCGGCAAACATTGTTTTTTTTTATTTTTCTTTCTTCTTTTCCTTCTTCTCCATAACGTGTTTTTCTAAATTTGTCCCAATGAACTTTGAAAATACCTTGTCTAATTCACTCAACAATATATATTTGATTTTTTTACTAATGTTATTCCATTATTTCATTTTATTCTATTATTTGAATCACTTGCAATTCAAATTTGACTTATACAAAAAAATTCCTTGAAATGTAATAAATTAATTACATATAGCAAACGGATCTAGAAATATATCAAATCTTAACATGGAGTACCACATGTTGTATGTGGACAGTAGAAAAAGTTTTAAGGTCAGAAGTGAAAAAAACTTATTATTTCATGCAGTTGTCGCTCAAATTCAATGTATATCAGTTAAAATTCTATAATTGCACTTAATAAATTAAAATTATCAAACGGATCAAAAAAATACCAAAATTACAAATGAATCAATCTATGTTCTCTATTGCCTATACAAAAAGTTGAAGTTAAACCCCAATTCGACCGTCACTTTGACTCCAAATCTTACCGAATCCTTCTCAACACTACGATTCTTCTTGTGAGATACTACGGTTTGCAAACATCGTACGTGACAGATTGTGTGAAACCTTCTCAATTTTTTACCACCGCCTCCACGTATGATATCATGAGATCTTGACAAATCTCATGATTTTCAGACTTCGTATGTTTTTTTAAGAATTTAAAAACCATTTGGCCACACGTTCATGCTCGGGTTTCGTGAACAAGATGTTTAAAATTTCCTTTCATTTCCCGGATAAGGCCTCACACGGGACTCAATAACATGAATATCATTTTTCTACTCATTTTATTATATTATTTGAATCACTTGCAGTTCAAATTTGACTTATACCAAAAAAATTCCTTCAAATGCAATAAATTAATTAAATATAGCAAACGGATCCAGAAATATACCAAATCTTAACATGGAGTACCACATGTTGTATGTGGAGAGTAGAAAAAGTTTTAAGACCAGAAGTGAAAAAAAAACTTATTATTTCATGCAGTTGTAGCTCAAATTCAATGTATATCAATTAAAATTCTATAATTGCACTTAATAAATTAAAATAATCAAACGGATCCAAAAAATTACCAAAATTACACATGAATCAATCTATGTTCTCTTTTGCCTATACAAAAAGTTTTGAAGTCAAACCCCAATTCAACCGTCACTTTAACTCAAAATCTTACCGAATCCTTCTCAACGCTACAATTCTTCTTCTGAGATACTTCGGTTTGTAAACATCGTACATGATAGATTATCCAAAACCTTCTCAATTTTATACCATGGCCTCCACTTATGATATCATGAGATCTTGACAAATCTCATGATTTTCAGACTTCGTTTGCTTTTTTTAGAATTTAAAAATAATTCGGCCACATGTTCGTGGTCATGTTTCCTGAATAAGATGTTCGAAATTTCCTTTCATTTCTCGGATAAGGCTTCACACTGGACTCAAGAACATGAATATCATTTTTCCACTCATTTTATTCCATTATTTGAATCGCTTGCGGTTCAAATTTGAGTTATACAAAAAAAATCCTTGAAATGAAATAAATTAATTAAATATAGCAAACAAATGGAGAAATATATCAAATTTTAACATGGAGTACCACGTACTGTATGTAGAGATTAGAAAAAGTTTTGAGGGCAGAAGAGGGAAAAAAAAGTTTAGGCTTTGCCGAGAGCCAACAAAAAACACTCGACAAAATGATTACTTTGCCGAGTGCCATAACGAAACACTCGGCAAATAATGTCTTTGCTGAGTGTAACTAACGGACACTCGGCAAAGTGCTAACGGCAGGACGCTCCAGCTGGCGGCCGTTGCACGGCCGGCGCACGTGCTGGTATTTTGCCGAGTGCCTGATGTTTGCCGAGTGTTTCTTTATTATTTGCCGAGTGTTTACTTTAGGGCACTCGGCAAAGAGGGTTTTTGCCGAGTGCCTTATGTTTACCGAATGTTTCCACGGCGGCACTTGGCACACAGCAGGTTTGACAAGTGCCCGATGGAATGAACTCGACAAACCCTCAGGCACTCGGCATACCTACTGTCTCCGTTAGCGATCATTGCCACATGAGTGCTTAGGACAATAGAGGTGTATGATTCTGCTGAAACTTCTGAAATTTATCCTCGTCCGGCTTCGCCGATGGGCTCAGAATCCCCCACTTCATCAGCAGAATCATCCGCCGTCCCAGCAACACAAATTGCTTCCGAGCCCACGTTGGCTACGGCGAGAGGGCCTAAGTCCCCCGAGTGACCACCTTGCTCCAGCGACCGCCATGCATTGGCATAGAGTGCGACGTCATTAGAAAACGTCCTTGCATGATTCCTGGGGAGTGGCGACCAAGGAAGCGACACGCGAAGCAGGCGAGGGCGAGGCACAGCCGCACAAAGGCTAAGATCTGCTGCATGACAGTGCATGGGTCAACATCTTGGGGGAGCTGCGCGGAGCAGCCTACAGCTGTCCAGCAGGGGCCCTGAGGCCAACCAAGTCAAATTGCTCCTGATGCATCTCATTCCAAAGCTAGTGGGTTTGCTGCTGCTGATGATGCATATAAAAGATGCAAATATATAAAGAGCTTGAGTCTATCAAGTGAGACCAGCAGGATACTAGTACTTATATATAGCAAAGAAATGATCTTAGTTGCAGCTGTTTATGAGCACTATATGTTACGTAAGTTTTCGCGCGGCACGTGCTATCAGTCAGAGTCGTTTTATGGTTTAGGTTGTTAGCTTCTTGGATTTATTACTTGTTGTCACTTCATGTGGAGGGCCTCAATCTCGCCTACCACACTTGGAGCTTCGGCATGTTATCCCCATAATTGGGGCGAACTTGAAGTCTGCAGCATGACATCAGTGGAGTAGGCGAATGTCAAATCATAGTACTATGTTGGAATTCCTTCCTCTACGCAAGATGATGGGCCGTGCCCCATTGGACACCTTTCTGCGCTATGACCAATACCGCCCATGAATGCATTATTCCACACAAAAAAAACATCATATATTATCGGAGTGTGCAACCGCCGCTCTCTCCCTCTTTCTCCCATGGCTCAGCTGCCATTGTGCTCTACATCCCACAACGATGACCTGGATAAGATTTCCAATGTTCATGCCCACCACACCTTCAAGGTGCTCGTCTTCCTTGTCTCCATGGAAAGCTCGAAGGAGATAGGATAAGCAGGGGATGGGTGATGCGAACAAAGAAGGGTTGGCTGGCGGGTTGGTAGGAGGATGGGTGGTCAGCTGATCGAGCAGCGGTTGCTGATTCTTTTTTTTTACGTTAAGTGGTTGCTGATTTTGTTAGGAGTGGGGAGCAGGTAACGCTGACACTACTAGCCAAAATGTGTCTCTAATGAAACTTTCATCAGGGTACATGTATAGACAGAACACTAGTATTGATTGTCTTTCATTGCTATGGCAAACATGTTATGATCGATATATATTGTCTCTGTACATGCATGACTTGTCTCCCTCTCTAGTAGTAGCTAGAAAATCTTTTAAGCATACATAATTATTATTTAAAAAGGAAAGCGACGCCCCCACCGGCCAGGCGGCCAGGCGTGGACGTGGGGCTCGCCGCGCTTGGTAAGCTGATGAGGCCCCCCCTCGGCGCCGGGCAAGCTCGTGAAATCCAGATCCAGTAGGGTGAACGATGTCCCTCTGCGCATGCAGCGATCCACGATGACGCACCTCGCCATACAGAAGGTGCCGTTGCCAAGATATGTGAGGTTCATCATTTCACCGTCTGGGACGCCGTTCCCGTGCTCCGTAGGAGACTTCCACACATACCGCACCACCGGTGGGCGGTGCTCCTTCTGGGCCTCGACGACGTCAATGGCGCACACCTGGTGGCAGTGGCTAGAGTCGTAGCTGGGGACTAGGCCAACAGCGCAGCCGAGCTCCTCAACGAAGAAGGCGCAGTGCGAGAGGAGCGGCAGCTGCCAGCTTCCCTCCACCCGCCACGCGCACGCGCCTGAGAACAAGTCCAAGGAGAAGGTGCCCCTTTCCCACACGGAGATCCACAAGCGCGTCCCCATCACGAAGTAGGGCGAGACGTAGACAGGGTTACAGTGATAGGACTGCTAGGCGTAGATCAGCGGGTAATACATAGCTTAGGTGAGGGGACTTGCTAATGTACCTCACCATGCGCAGCCATGACCACGGTGCCACCGCGACATGGCCATTGGAGCCGTAGTTGTAGGGGAAGCAGAGACGCGCCCGCTAGATCATCGTAGGTAGCACAGTGCAGACGCGCTGCTGGTGGCGGCGATGAAGGCGATGACGCTTCCCGTCGCTTACAGCTCCCCCTGCTAGATCGGACTGGGGTTAGGACATCACGGTGGGGCTGGCGGCTGTGGTGAATCTCGTATCATGTGCCCCAGCCCCCACCGTCCTTTTAATAGTGCTGCGCGATGGGGGGCCATCAGCCACTTAGAACCGGCTGAGCGCCCCCGATCAGGGCGCGGATCAAGGGCCCAATTAGTCGTTGGGCCAACCGGTGGAGATCATCCTAACATTCTTCCTCTTGATCTCACCTTATGACTTAAACTCAACCTTCTTTATCTTTTTCCTATTCCATCACAGATTAGTGCATAGAGCGTGTCTCATCGTCATAGTCAGTTGCCATTATATTTAACAGCTACAATGCACCTCTCTATTTTGAAATAGATACTCAACTAGGCCTTTAGTATCCAGAAATCATAGGCTTTACCGTAAACCCATGTCGACTGTGTGTTCTCTGAGTGCACTGGGTAGTAACCCTTTGGTAAGCGGATCCGCAAGTATTTACTCGGTACTTATGTGCTCAATGCTTTTAAAATGATTCTAGATTTTCTCCTTTACAACATATAACTTAGTGTCAATGTGTTTGGCAGCACACTTCACCTGTTGTCTTAGGAGTTAACTTACTTTAAATGGTTACTGCTGTTGTCTACCATTATTAAATCCGGGTACAAATTCTCTTAATCTCTTTTGCCTATTCCTTAAGCCTCATGTCAAGCTATACTATGTTATGCATCACTGATGACACCATAACTGTTTCTTTAGAGCTTTTCCACAATAATACTCCAATTGTGAGTGTTAGCAACTGCTGTGGATTTCACTACATATTTCACCAAGACTTAATATTTGTACCGTCAACTATTTGAGAGTACTTGTTCTTTTTTACTCAGCATAAGACCTATGATACTTTACAAAATTGCAAGATATTCTTAACTACATTCCAGTGATCTATATCTAGACTAGACTTCTTACAAAATATCCCGGATACGTAAACTACGTCAAGATAAGTTCTTACTTGTACTTGTACACTCATCAAGCTTCCAACAGCTGAAGTATATGGAACCATGTTCATTCGATCGATCTCATATCGGTTCCTGAAACACTTAAAGTTCACACATCTATTACCCTTGACTATAGGAGGAGGCGTAGGTTTACTCGCATGCATATTTTATTTCTTTAAAATCTTTTCTAAGTATGCCTTTGTAATAGTCCTAATACCCTATTTTCTTCTATCTCGGTGAATTTCGATTCCTAGAACCAATAACGCTTCACCAAGATCATTCACATTGAAACTTAAGGACAAAAACTTCTTTTTCTCCAATGGCAGATTAACATCACTACTAGTGAGTAGGATGCCATCTATACACAGGATGTGGAAAAGAATTTTCCATTCTTGAACTTAGCATAAACGCTATTGTCCTTCTCATTTTCTTTAAAACCCAAACTTTCTTATTGTTTTCATCAACTTTAAATACTATTGTCTAGAGACTTACTTTTAACCCATAAATGGATTTCTACAGGCGGCATCCCATATGTTCTTTTTTCCACGACAAAACCTTTTGAGTTATGCCATGTAAACGTTTTCCTATAAATCCCTATTGAGGAATGTCGTCTTTACATCCATATGATGTAACTCTAAATCATAATGTACCAACAACGCCATTATGATTCTAAAAAAATCCTTGCATAAGACTGGAGAGAAAACTCTTATTGTAATCTATTCATTATCTTTGCGTAAAACATATTACTACAAGTCGTGCTTTATATCTTTCTACATTTCTTTTGGAGTCACATTTTGTCTTGTAGACCCATTAACAGCCTACTGTTTTGGCTCCATTAGAAATTACTTCTAAGTCCCAAACATCGTTGGTATTCATCGAATTCATTTCAACTTGCATAGCTTCTTGCCATTTAAAGAGTAAACGCTTCTCATGGCTTCTTCAAATGAGGTGGGATCACCCTCCATTTGAATTTTTTTACTAACATAGACTTCATAGTCATAAAAAAACTGGTTTACTAATTCTTTGAGACCTTCTGGAGCCTTAGCTACTGGCACTTTCATATGGGGCTGTTGTTGCTCTTCATTGTCAAGAGGCAATTGATTCTACAGGTTGATGTATTACAAGATCCTTATTAACATTATTCATCTTCTTCGAAGAGCTAACAACATATGTTGTATTAATCATAACTTCTAACAACAACAAGAAGTCCCAAACAACACGAACGATTGGCACACATGCCACAAAACAAAGTATCCAAGATCTCCACTGCTAATTGCTTTTGCCAATCGACAGTCACCAAATAGTCGCACCACAGATAGTTTAAATACGCCATGAGTCATGACACACCTTCAATTCGGTGGTCCCACCACTCCATGTCAAATGACGAGTTTGCAAATGCCAGTTCATTAGTGTGGCTTTCCAGACATCGTTATTTACCAATTTAGTTTCAGACTCCAACAAACATCGTCGAGGGCCATCGCTACTAAAACATTGTCACTGCTACCATGTCAGAAAATGACTGCACAGTTCATGTCACTGCTAACTCCGCTGCCATGCAAGAACTGTCCTCAAAACCCTCTGTCAAAGAAAGACCAATGCTACCACTCCACCTTTGTCGCAGGATTTATCTCTGCAGTAGTGTTGATTTCCTTGGTACCGCTCATTCTAAAGCTAGTTAGGTGATGCACGTACGTGTGAGATTAGCCTCCCCGTTAGATGTGCTAGTGCTAAGAACATACGTATGCATAATAAAATAACTAGCTAATAAAAAAGGAAAAAATTCAGTGAGGACCATCCGTACCAGGACGTGGTGAGGTGAAACAGCGAAGAGCACACGCCCAATGACCAGAGTTGGAACGTTTGAGGGGAGCCACAGGTTGATGTTAGTTTATATATGCTACTAGCAAATAAGTGTATATATAGAATCATTTTAACTTTATCGCTCATTTATTTTGGAATCAAATATCAAAATGAGGAAGCTGAAATAAATCAGCTCTACTATAAGGACACCAACAGGCCCTTCCTTTCAAACCACAGTGTGGCCGGATATCTCCTAAGTATTGAGTGATCAGTACTCAGGGTTTGTTAAATCCCTGTTGCAGCTGTTGGCTTATCAGCGTTGCTTTGTGATTTTGTTGATTGTGATCATGTATATTATCTATATATTCCTAGAACTTGGTTGTCTAAGATGCTTTCAAAGCTGGGACCCCGATGTGTGTTTGCAGGCAGCTGAATCTGTTTGGATAGCAGCAGCCGCCGAAGTGGGGGAGGGTAAAGAAGAGGTCTAGCAGAGCCCAATGAGCAAAAGGAGGCCGCAGACGATGCGTAGCCCATGCACCAGTGATTGTTGCAGACCTGGCCTTAATTATGTGTGTGCGGCTTCCTATATGCCATGAGCGCTTCCGCGTTCCTATGCTTGTGTGCCATGGATCCTTTCCTCTCTGATGACATAGGAAAAATCTGGTGGAGCTCACCTTGCCAGACAGGAAATATCAACGAGATGATGACATTGATTTTGCACTCAAAGGACTTGGTGGCAAAGCAGATGATGACATTGATCTGTGGGTGGAGCCACTCTAGCAAACTGCAGGAGTGGCACTAGTACAAAAATTACTTTTACTGGAGGTATTTTCATATTTCTACTTGCGTTCTAGCAACCGCCTGTGTGAGAGGCCAATAAAAATCAGAAACCTTTACTTGTGTTACCTAAGAACTACCTGTGTAAATATTTACACTAGCGGGTTTCTTAAGATGCTGCCAGTGCAAATGATTTTTCAGAAATTACAAATCAGGCTAAAAAGTAGCAAAAAATTTAACTTGGGAGGCCCGCACTAGGCAACCACACACAATTTGTAGCAAAATTTCACTTTTGCGAGAAATACACAAAAGTTGAGTTATCCAGGAATGGAACTTGAAACCTCAGGCCTCTCGGATTTACGCCCCTTACCACCTGCACCCCAGTCATTTGTGACTTGGCAATAGAAACATTCCCGTGGTATTCATTCCACCAAATTTTGAAATGGAGATTTAAAGCCCTAAACGGATTCAAATGAAAAAAGTTTCAACTACAAAATTTTAGATCTCGTCGAGATCTGCTTTTAATTTTGATCATTTTTCCATCCATGCATGGTCATTTGAGAAATTCAAAAGAATATGAATTTTAAAATCATTAATCTTAAAACATAATTTCCGAGCTTCAAATGGTTTCAAATGGAAATCTAGTTAACCACAAAGTTGTAGATCTTTTTGAATACTACGACTTTCGTTCATACCATTTCTCCATCCGCTATCATTTGAGAATTTTAAAAAAATAATTTCAAATTATTTGTAGTGACTCTAGGTTAGGAAAACCGCCAGTATAAATGGATTTTTACTTACCGTAAACCACCAGTATAAATAGATTTTACTGATTGTTTTCTTAAGTCTATACCACCAGTATAAAATACGGTAGACTTAAGAAAACAACCATAAGTAAAAATGAATTTACACTTGTGGTTTATATACGGGGCCCATAGTTTCATTTTTACTAGCGCCTATACATTATGAATCATCATTGAAAAAATCGCAAGCATCAACAAAAATCAATTTTGTACTAGTGTGGGTCTCGGTCTTGCTTCAATTTAATTAATGGGTCCTGCTTTGGTTTTATTTTGGCGAACATGCATGGTGCATGCTAGCTACTGAGGACATGTTTGGAGTGAAGAAATAGAAAAACAGAGAATAGATTATAGACCAAAATGCAGGACGGAGAGGAG